TGCGGTCATGGTCTTACTTGTGGTCAAATTTCAGTTTACCAGTTATGAGCAAGTATTGAGATCTGTTGTGGTCTTTGTTTGCTTTGATTAAGATGGTTTTGTGCTACTACTAGCTAGTAAAGCTCTTTCTATTTGTGCTTGATGGAGACTGGGTAAGAGTCAGGGAGGAACCTTCTCCTCTCTTACCTGCCCCAAACCATAATACTTCTCTGGGGATATTTAACAAAGTGCAAAGTCAGTGCAAAAGAGACAAACATGCTTTTTTCTTACAGGGAGGTGCAGCTGCCTTTCCAATCAGATATCCCACGTATATAAATCTCATCCTGAACTTGTCTGTTCAGAGCTTCTTGTAAAATGCTGATCAAATTCCCCTGACCTCTTTTGAGCAAAAGAGTGGATCTAGTAATGCAGGTCTTCATTCAGTCTTTGTTGTCTTACAGGATGCTAGTAGCACTGAGACTGACTTTTATGAGGGTTTTGTATCTGTGGAAACATATCAGATTCTTGAAGATCAGATTCTTGATTATTTGCTGTAGTTGTTAAAAGCAAAAGCATGGAAACAAAGACCTTCCTGGAATTACCAAAAATCCTTAGTGCCCTAGTAGTTTTTATTTTGCAGCACCCAGAATGAAAAGCTTGCAGCATTTAGCTCAGCAGCTGCACATACTGAATGCATGCTGTTACTTAGAAACATTAAAACATGGAGAAACTTCAGCCATTCCAAGATGACTGGAAACAAAAACACCAACACAAAAACTAAAGGTGTATGATACATTGATCAACTATGTACTTGGTCTGTGTTTACACAGACTGTATTTTTTTTTCTTTCAGTCCTCTTCTAACAGAATCCTTGCTCTCTGGTGTTTTAAGACAGACAACACCCTCTACACCACTGAAGAACATAATGTATTGGAAGATAGCATTACTTCATCATCTTCATCCATTTACCTCCAGATACCCTTCATACTAACCCACAGGCCTCCTCACACAACCTGGAAGCAGACTGGAACTTTCCTGACTGGGGCCTCTCAGATTTGGCTACCAGAAAGGGCACAGTGTGGGCAGCTCTGATCTGGAGTCTTCTTCACTAAACCGAAATGCAAATCCTCCCCAAGGAGAGCTGGGTGTGCCCTGTGATTATGTCAAAAATGTGCATCGGGTTCATATAGCTGAGCTCTTGCTCTGTGCCATAGTTCCCTTAGCTATAAGATGGCAGCTTTTTTTTTTTTTTTTTAGTGGACCCATGTTGTATAAGAGAAGGAATTACAGTTTTCAGTGGAGATATCACATGCTACTATTTCTGAGAATTCAAAGGAGGACCAGAAACTAATGAAGAGAAAACCTTTGATTTGGGACAGTGAGCATGGCTTGTGAGCAGCATTCTTTTGAGCTGAGCGTATGAAGGATCTGTGGAGGGTTATGTTCCTCTAAGGGAAAGAGTATAGCAACATTTGGCAGTTGTGCCTGTGCTCTGTCAAGGAGCTGGGAAAGGAGCTGGATTTTGCCAGTCTGAAACAGATAAAAGGCTTTTCCACTTTTGAGTCTCGTTTTTGCAAGAGTTGTCTTTGACTTGATTACTGTCCTGTAAGACTGGATTTTGTTTACTTTATTTTTCTGATGGATGTTGCCTCTGAACAGCTGTGAAGAAGAAAATCTTCCTGGAAGCATCTAACTTGGTGTGTACCCACTTCATAGTGCTTGCTCTATCCAGAGTGATTCTCTATGACTGCCAGTGACACTGGCATATATCATTGCTGTGTTACAGTAAGATTACTGCAGATGTGATCAGTACTACACCACCTTTGGGTGCTTTTATCAGATATATGAATGCAAGGAATCTCATTGCAATCACATTGACTATTCATTTCCAGTCTTCCACTTAAAAACTGGCTGGAGTAGTGGAGTCAACTTTCCTGTTGAGCTCTTTGTAGGCATTGCCCTTAAACATTTCAGTGGTCATTTTGACTGACGTTACTGAATGGCTCTTGATTTCTAACTGTAAATCAAGTCAAATTGAAATATTTGCATAAGGTCTGGGACTTGATAAGGCTGGTCTCAGGCCACGTTAAGAGAGAAATTCCAGATAAGAACAGGAAACTGTTATGAGCTCCTGGAGGAAAATGTGTGAGTCTAGATCACTGGAAGCATCCTGGTAGCAGGGGAGCATTGTAGTGCCTGTTGAATTGCACTGTCCTTCAGAGCAGGTGTCCAGAACTGTTGCTAGAACAGAGGCAAGCAGCAGTAGCATAAGAAGGAGAGTAGTGATCTCTCAGTTTCTTCCCAGGAATGGCTCTCAGACCGAGAGGAGCAGCCTTCCATGATGCCTATTCTGCACAATCAAAAGGGATGAAACCATGCTCAGGAGAAAAAGCTAGTAAGTGTAATTCAGCTGTATGTTTAGGGAATGACTGCACTGACCTATGTGTTGTATGAAAACAAACCTACCAAGATTTTTTTTTAACCTTTTCATTGTTATTTATATTTGATGTCATGAAGCTGACTTTTTTTAATCTCATCTGCACTTTTGTGGCAGCTTTACGTCCTCTATTCAGTTGCTCTGAGTAGCCTTCTGAGGAACCCTGATGTAAAAATGTGGGTTTAGGAATGAGTCAGCTTTGCTTCACTCAAATATCTATCCATTTTCTTTCATGGTTCAATAGGTCTGTATGTACCATCTTTCATCACTTGGAAACTCTTGTTCAGCTAATATGACACCTTTGGTCAAATGACATTTTGAAAATCCCTGTTTTATTTTTGTCTGTATTCATATTATTATCTCATCCTTTCTCACTGGCAGATTTCAACGCCCTCTTTCAAAAGAGGAGTGCCATTATCCACAGCAGGTTGGTGCCTGGCAGGGAGGAAGGTTTGTTGCAGGTGAGGGAGAGGAGACAACTACCCAGTTTTGGTGAGCCTCAGTCCCAGGCTATGGATTCCTGTGCCCACCACTTAATGGTGAGGTCCCCCTTGCACCTGATTCAGGAAAACTGCCCAGAGCAAAACTTTCAGCTTGGTTATTCTCACACAACTGTGAAATAGCTGTGAGTATTACTGGGAGGACTGGAAGAAGTTTGATGGGCAGAGAAATGAGAGCAGTGTTCACCAGGAAGAAGCTCTGCGTGCACTAGGCACTCTCTACAGCAAGCACATGTGTATGGGGCGTGGGGCACAAAGCCCAGCAGTGAGTAGCTTTTGAGTTTCATGCGGAAAAAGGGCTTTACGCTAGCACAATTCAAAGTGATGCTGTGCATCTGCTGGGTGCGGCCTGTTAATTCCACACATGAATGGACACAGCATCCTCCCCCACCACAGGGTATGTGCCCAGAGCCAGACCAGCCTACGAGCTGCTGGCCATCTGGTTGCCTTTCCTCAGTGCCAGTCTTAGCTCCAGACCCTTCTTATCTTGTGCTTTCCGAGAGCCTACTGTGGGTTGCTTTTTGCTTCCTGACCATCATTTTTGTTGGACCAGCACAGGCAGCCATTCACCTAGTCTGGAAAGCCAGGTCTCTTGCCAGTTCTCTTACAGATAAACCTGGAAGGTCTCTTTGATCTTATTGACCAGAAGGGTCACAGAATAGGACCAATAAAAAAAAAATGAAAACAAAAACAACATCATCAACAACAAAAGAAAACATGATATACTCTCTTGCTCCCAATTTAGTCTAGGCACTTGGTTGATGAATGGCTCAGCAAATCATGGTGCCCGTGCCAGCAGTGTCATGTTTGTGAGGTTGATATGCCATGCTGGCTTGGAAGTGATGTGTTGTGGGGTTCAGTGACATCTGTGAGACTTTCCAGCACCTGATACTTGAAATTTGTCTTGCTCTTCCTTTCCAAAATAGGTAATAGAGGGGTTAACGCACCCCTTGAGGCAGTTTTCGTATGTGATTTACTCAGTGACTTGTAAAGTGTTGAATAGTAAGACTTAAAATTCTTTTTTTTTAGTATTGTAATGCCTTCCACAGCATTATATGCATTAATGAGAGTCCTTGCTTGGAGCTGTCAGCATCAGTGAGCTGCTGATGGTATCTCATTCCCAAAATGAATTATGAAAGATATGTGCATGCAGGAGTATTTAAGAGTGCTGGTTTTTATTTTCAGTCTGTCTGTTGTATCCTGAGAGAGTTCCCATGAAGGTAAACTTGCATTTATGTTTCTAATTTAGGGTGATCAGGACAGAGGCACTATAATATTTTTATATTTCTTCTACAGCTCTTTGCTCATGTATTTTAATGTTTTGTCTGCTATTTGTAGCCATATCTGAGTGCTGGGTAGGTGTGTTGTTATTGATGGCCTAACCAAGACACAAGTCTTTGAATAGTTGTCGCTTAGCAAAGAAGATGCATCAGAAATATTTTCCAGTGTATGTTTTTCAACTCTTACTTTTTCTACTACCACAATACTGATTTTTCCTTTTGAAAAAAAATATAAATAAAATTTTACCAACCTGATTAGTATCATGTACATCTGTGAGCGGCTACTGGTGTATCACACTCTTTGCCTTCTGCTCTGTTACCAAATGCTACAGTTCTCTGTGTGGTTAAATTACATCCTCACATAATTTATTTTTTTATGGCAGTCGTTTTTATGGCAGACTTTTCCTACACTGCCTCTCTTTATTTTGTTTTGCCAGATACATACACAGTGAATGAAAATTGTGTCTTGGAGGTAGGTATTTTTGGAATGAAGAACATTCACTTAAAAAGATACTTATAATCAAGATATTTCAAATATACTCACACATGCTGAAAAACAAATTAAAAAAAACAAAACACACTTTTATTCAAAAAAAATCTGAACATTTTTAATGTTAATAAAAAAAATAAAAATTGCCATCCTGAAGTATGGTGATAAAGTAATTCAAAATACCTATATATATACACCTAAATGTAGGTATATATAGAACTCGGATACCTAAGAGAAAACATAGCTATATTTATAGCACAGTGTAATGCATTGGCTTCCTTTCTTTGTGCACAGAAATAGTGCATTTTGTGTCCTTTTTTTTTTTTTTTTTTTAAAAATGACAGAAGGTGTATCCTCTCCCTGGGATGAAATGTATAACAGTGGCCACTAAGAGTCTGACCAAACAAGTCCTACACAGATCAGCGGTAGAGTAAAAAATATGGTAATAACTGTCCTTATCCTTCAAAGATATTTTCCAAGTGTGCGTCCTGATGATGAGGAATTCTCTCCTTCACCCCTCCATGCAGGCCAACCTCTGTCTTGATGCTGGTGAAAAACAAGAAGCAGAGCACAGTACTTGCACTGAGCCGAGGCTGCTGTGAAATCTGAGCAGTGATTTATAATTGCATCAGGTAAAACTTGCATGTCCATCTCCTAGGTTTCATATCTAGGACAGCTTCTGTCATAATATTCAGAAAATCTAAGAGGCAGAAATCAAAGCTCTAGTAAGTTTATTATCATGCACTAGCTTATTAAATGCTTGTGCATTTGCTTAGCTTTTAAAAGTTCCTGGTTTTGTCAGCTTACTTTCTGGTGAGTTCAACAGTTGGTCTGAAATGCGTTAAAGTGCATCTTGATCCCCAGTAGATTGTGTGTGGAATGAACTGGTAGACTCGGTGTGGTAACTGATGTGAAGTCCACACCACTTGCAAATATCTCCAGGCAACCACCAGTTCTTAAAGAGCATCTTCAGGTACTTCTTAAATTTTTCTCCCATGAGGAAATAGATGACTGGGTTGAGGCAACAGTGAAAAAGGCCGAAGATTTCCGTTATCTGGAATGCATAGTCTAGATTCCTGCTTGCTTGACAGTCTCTAATGACTCCAATAAGTTCCAGGAATTGTAAGAAAATTACAATATTGTAAGGAGTCCAGAAGAAGAAAAATACGATCATGACAGCAAAGATCATCCTCACAGCCTTATTCTTTTTCTCATTTCTACAGTGGACTAATGTTTTGATGATCATGGAGTAGCAAAATGCCATAACTATGAAAGGGATTAGAAGCCCTAAAACATTGATTTCCAAAGTGGAAAAGAGTTTCCATGTTGTAAAATTTCCTGGATATCTGTGCTTGCAGGTAGTATAATTTTGCTCATGGAAAGATTCTCTAAATACAAGTTCTGGAACTGAGGCTGAAAGAGCCACCAGCCACACAATAACACTGGTAATCAGGCCATGGAAAGTAGTTCTTGCTTTCAAGGAAAACACTGCACGAACAATTGCCAGGTATCTGTCTATGCTCATAAGCATAATAAAAAATATCCCACTGTAAAACCCAACCAGATAGATCCATGAAATGATTTTACACCAGGGAGTTCCAAAAACCCATTGGTCTATCGCAAAATAAGACCAGAACGGCAGGGAAAAAACAAAGAGCAAATCTGAGACGGCAAGATTTAGCAGGTACACATCAGTCATGCTCTTCAGTCTCTTGTATTTGAAGAGGACCACTATGACCAGAATGTTTCCCATTAGCCCAACCAGGAATACTAGGGTATATAGAACAGGTAGGAAGGAGGCTGCAAACCTCTTGACACTTTCCTTACTGCATGGTTTTGGGGCATCATTATAATTATCGTAATAGTCATATAAGGTTGAGGTGTCAACTTCAAAGGACTCTGTACTCGAAGAACTCATGTTTTTTTTCCCAGATTCCTGAGAATGAAAGAATATAAAAATGTCAGTGACTTTCTCTTCATGATGACCATGTGGTTACTCCACAAGCCTGAATCATGTTGGAAAGACTGCAACACACAAAGACTGACTTGCAGTTCCAATGCACTTCTCATTACAGATTATCAAAGAATATTCAAATAATGTGGGATGCTTATATGCACACTTGTGAAGTACTGTCCTTGGCATGCATGTGCTCAGTCCTTCCAACATGGTGAAAATCAGACGTGTCAGACTGAACACTATCCAAACTGCAGAGAGGAAAGCAAATAGGGATGAAAGATAACAGACTATATATCTCAAATCAGAGAGGGATAATCCTGTGTGGCGTAAAGTAAAAAGTGAAGCCACTGTTCATAGGAGTTCAGGATTTTACCCATCTTTTCACTCAGGCAAACATCACTGAAAGAAGACAGTGAAAGGTGACATCAATTTTCAGTAAGTGCTGTCTTCAGTGGTAAAGTGAATAACATGAATTTGTCATTATATGTATGTTCTTTTCTAATAGATACAGAGTTTTAAGTGATGTTACTTCGAGGTTGACCAGATCACATAATGGATGCAATACAAATACACTGTTGATGTATTACATGTTTTTCACATCACAGCAAGTGTCATTTCTAAGCCTAATTTACTAGAATTTTTGCAAGCTTCTGTTATGTCTTTCCCCTTTGTCTTTATTTTTATGAATGGGAAGTAGAGGAAAAGTGAGTATCATTGCTCTATTTATCTTCAGACTATAGTGCTACTACAATGCAGCAAGTATTGACTATCATTAACCTGAACCCTACTGTGTGTAATCTCAGTCACAACTTCCCTGTCTACAGTTCTGTTCTGTTATACACAGAGAGGAATTTAATCTGAGTTACGAGTCACAGGGACAGAACTGTTCAACACCAATGTCCTAGAGATGACGGCTCTGCAACACTAGCATCTAGTCGCACCTGCATCTAATCTACATTCCACATGGCTATTCTACTTGAGCATTTAAAACTGAAAACAAATACTCAAATAACGCACATACACTTAATCCTGATTATGCAGAATTTCTGAAAATTGCTGTAAAAATGACCTGAATGGCAGCAAAAGGTAAATGAAAAAGCATTACAGTCACATACGTGATGAGCATATAACATAGACAACTCTTTCTAAAACTAAATTTTATAAATGTTACCTTTTCTCTCCTTTTCTTCTCAAATGATGTGAGGAAGAGTCTTGGTTCTAGTGGAGTGGAATCACTTGCTTGTGGCCAGGTAACTCCGTCAGTGAGATGCTGCCTACACTGTGATACCCAGCAGCTGCAAAAAGCAGATGTCACAAGGTAGCTGTGTCTGTCAACGGAAGCTGTGTACTTCCTTACAGATCGTATCATAAGTGTTTCTCTCCTCAGTGCTCACCAGAGATGTTCCTTTAAATGTAGAAAAGAAATTAAAAGTGTCTTATGGTGTGTAAGGAAATACAAAGTTCCCAGTGAGAGCCTGATTGCTGAGTTAAAGCCCCTTCATCTTACCCAAAATTGTTAAAAGCAGATGTCAATAAGTAGCTCTCATTCAACAGAAACTGCTCTTTCTCATGGGTTGTAAAATGCATCTCAAACTCAGAAAAAATAATTAAAGGATCATCTGCAGTGAGCAGGGAAGAGGGAGGCACTTGATGGGTGTGTGGATGGTGTGTTTCTAGTCCCTCTGTGTGGGATAACTGATTTTGCCAGTTATACCATGTAACTGTGGTAATAAAGAGCTGTATAGATTTAGTGTAGGGAACTCTCCTTTTATTTATTCTTTGATTTTCCTAACCCCTGCTTATCTTGCTAAGAAAAGAAATGAGGGCATGCAAATTCACAATGCCTTTTTGCTTGATGTCTCCCATTTTATATATGGTTTTATATATGGCAAAACTACTAATGGCCTGATGCAAATGGTACTAATGGTTAAACTCTCACAAACTATCAAATAAGATGTAGGATGTCGGATGTGTAAGATGTAGGGTGTGTGTGGTGTAAGGGCTGGGGGTTTCCTCATGGTTTTTATCACAGCAGGAAGCCTATCAATTTCTACAAATTTCTCCTGAGAAGATGCTGATCCCTGTCTCTCTTTCTGGGGAACCAGGGAAGGGGGATGATCACAGAGGACGTGCTGGTCAAATATGATGGTTTTGAATCCCTCTGGCAGAACAGCTACGCTTGCAGCTGGCAAATGCTGCTCTCCCCTGTGTCCTAAAAGAGGCTGGCCAAGAAGAAGTAAAAACCATTTCTTGACAGGGGAGGCTGCTTGCTTGTTAGCAGGAGAAACTGAAGAGTCACTTTGAGAAGTACAAACAAGAAAAATACAGTAGATGAGTAGGAGGGAGGGAAAATAATAGATCCTAAACAGGAGATAGGATATATCTTCTAGATCAATCTCCTGTGTCATTCTGAACACAGGAGATTCTGAACATATAGCTTTATGCTCAGTTTTGCTATTTGCTGCTATCCTATATGCCTCTGACATTGTTACTCTGCCCACTAGCTTGTATTTGGCTGAATTGTTTCCTCCAGAAAAGCTTGATGTGAAGACAATGTGAACTGTGGTATCTACTGGTTTCTTGTTCGCCAGAATAAAACACTCATATGGGAAGTAGCTTCTCAGTCATCTTTCAAAAATGCATTTGTGGAGAGTTTTAAATAGGTCACTGTGAGATCACCAGGCTATTGCTCTGCAGATCATGTATGTCTTCTCTTCAGTTTGCTGACAGTTCTTTAAAGATGTGGACATCAGATGAGCAGGCAACACTATGATACCAGTTTCATCAGCTCTGTTCACAGAAACTAGAAGCTGTTCCACTTGCTGCTCTTTTGTCCCTGCAGGGCCTCATTAATCTCTTTGACTTGTTGTTACACAAGGGGCATAAGTTAAGCCATTTGTCTGCAGTAACAGTGACATGAAACCTCCTTTTAAGCATATGCTTTTCAGGAAAAAACACCTCATTGCTCTGTAGGTATCGCCCTTCCTTAGTTTTAGCTGCAATGCTTTTGCCTCAATAACCACCACTCGTCTATATGCCTGTCTTGTCCTAGTCATTATTTTCTACTCCAATAGTCTGGTCATCTCCTTTGAATTTCATTGGTGCTGATTTTCCTTGTGTCCAGATGAAGCAGTGAATAGAACTGAATGGGATGATTTCCCATCACTAGCAGATTTCTGAGGTCTGTCTGCCTGTCCTTAGTGTACATGCCACATCTCAGATAAGCTTCCGATCTTTCAATTGTGATGTTAGCAGGGACCAAGTCTGCAGTCTTATCAGTGCAAATTTAGCATAATTTATATAGCACTGGACAGAAGAAAGGACCTATCTAGCATACTACTTTTACCCCAGCCCTCCCTTGGCCGAAAGACTTTCAAGTAGCAAATGCTTCTGAACCAGCTGAATGCATCTTTCTGTACCTGTCATGGATGGGAAGCTGGGACACCACCACCAGAGGCACTGGGCAGCAAAAGCTTCTTGTCAGAGCATACTTCTGTTGCTCTGGTGGGGTGGGGAGGTATGGTTGGATCGCAGTGTCTTGAAAGCATCAGTAATGTTGCAGAAGCATACCATATCAGTGCACTTTCTGTTCCCTCAGCAAATGGGAAGGGCTGTCTTTGTAAGGAGATTTTTTAGAAAGTGTGACTTCAGAAAAAGGAACGCATATCCACAAAAAGAGAAGAGAGGTTGTGTCTACTTAGGGTTTGTGAACTCTAGGTAATGAAGCTAAAAAAAACATCTGCCAGTTCATGAAAATTAAAAGGATGAAATTGTACCCTGAAATACCTGATGCTCTGTTGATGAAAAAAGTTCCTTTGAGAACTTACTAGTAAAACTGTAGAAAAGATGAAGAAAAGGGAAGAAATCTCTGATCAAATGAAATGATGCAGAAAATGAATGAAATGTGTTTTGAGCGAAGGGTCTTCAGCATCTTGGAGAGAGAGGAGCATGAAAAGTCTTAAATATAACTAATCCATAGATGGGAAGCTCTGAGGTTCCCTGCCAATTTGGCAGGATGTCTGTTTTTTTTCACAGAAGAGCCTGGCAGAAACTAAAAAAAAGGGATGGCAGAAGACCATGAGCTTAAGAGGAAAGGGGGAAGGGATATCAGAGATGCAGAGGATGTTGCTGTAAACCAACAGGTTGGAAGGAAAGGGGGAGAAGAAATAAGAGGTCTTACCTCTTTACTAGGTGGTATCAGGTATGTGGCACTGGCTAAAAATATCACAAGAGCGCAGAGATGCGGACCAAATCTGATTAGCCTCACTAAGAGGTGGCTAGTCCTTTATAAGGACACAAATTAGAACCAAAAGAGGGGAACTTAATAAAAACTAAAAGCAGAACAACCCAAACAGTAAAAACCCTGCTTCTTGCCAAAAGATGATTTCAGCCACTCCCTGCTTTTATGGAAAGTCTTATTTTTAACTTGCCATCTTGCAGGTTGCACACAAGTCTCGCCAAAGGAAGGGCTGGAGATAGATCTGTGAGTCTAATCTGTGAGCTAGATGCTGCTACTGTGAGACACTCACCACTGATACACCAAAGCACCATCTATTCCCTATGTTATTTGTATTGGCCATGGTACATGAATGATTCAGAAGTGTGTATTAGAGAAGAGGTTGTCCAGAAGAGGTTGTCTCAGGGAAGAGGCATATGACTGTGACTAAAGATAAACTAAAGATAGATCAGTCTTTTGATCCAGGCTGCCACAGTGCACAAGCAGGTACCTTTCTCAGCAAACAGTCCTCTCCATCAGCTGGCCAACCCCTTCTTGCCTGGTCAGGCCTTGGGCTATGCCCTTGCAATTCAGGTGAATTAGAATCACAGTTTGTGTATCTATAGTGCCAATCCATTCTTGTTAGCAAAAAGCTTGTGTCACCTATTCATTGTGCAGTTATCTGCCTAGTGATTTTCAGTTTATTCTGAACTTACTGTGCCTGATTAAAACTGAAGCAATCTGATAAGAGAACTAGATGCAGAAAATGAAATAATTTCTTAGTTCTAGAGACATCCATCATCTATACTCTTTTCCCAGGTGGTTTGTTCATAATTTATCTCAAATGTTTTGAACATATGAATTCCCTTTGGCTAAGACAGCTGCTTGTGTTGAAGAAGTTTTAGGAAACAGAAGATTTAGGTCTTAGATGGTCATGACTATTTTATTTGCGTAATGGTAGTAAGTTGCATTTCCCTACATTTTTTATTCCCCCCTGTGGTCTTGTCCTATTTATTCCACTGTTTGTATCCAGTGTTTGGATACAATCAAATTTGTTTTCAACAAATTTGCTTTCAACCTAATTTGCTTTCTTTCCCTGTTCTGTGATAGCAAAGCTGCTATATTCAGAACTCCTCACAAAAAAGAACTGAAACTTTAAACCTTAAGCATTACAAAAATAACCATCGTGTATGCTGAATTTTACTTAAAATAAAAATCACTAAGGCAAAGCAAGAGTTGCATTTTTAAAAGTGAAATGATACCATAAGGATCTTTCTTTGTCTTGTTCAGTGATCAAAGAAATGTTCCCAAGCTATTTCTACAGGAAGATGACATATTTGCACTGTTTCTAAGTCTGCGGAATAGTTGATACCTGAGATATATATTTTTTTTCCCAGACATCACCATGGTGTTTCAGTTAAAGGCTGCTCCTCATCAATAAATAAACACATAATTAAAGACAAGGCAGCAATGAATAGCAGAGGTTTCCCCAGGCCAGTTTCTTTAATGTTCATTATAATGAGTTTAGATATGAAGGAATTATGGCATTTTGGCAAAAAGTCAGTTTTCTGTTTGCTGTGTGGTAGTGCCTCCAAGACTCAAATACTGTAGTTGTTGGTAGTCTTCAAAAGCTTATTAACAGACTGCTCTAAACATCTACACAACAGATACATTCACACTCTTTCCTGCCATGTCCTTGGGCAGTATTTCTAACAGAAGCTAGTTACAAAATACAAAGTACTTGCATAGGATCAAGTCTAAAGCAATACTTGCACAGTTGGTACAATAATCTCCTTTCTATATTTGTAAGACCCAGGCACTCTGCCATTGCCAGGTGAAAGTTGTTTCACTGCTAGTTCTCTTCAAGACAAGCTGTATAGAGAACTTAAGTAATATTCAGTTCACTTTTTAATAGAAGGCAAAACCTCTCGGGGTGCAGAAATAAAACTGATAGGAACAAAAAGTAGGGCTGAACAACTGTTACTGGTTTTCACTGGAACTTATCGCTCATCTTTGTGATTAACAAGATATTCCGATGCTTTTCATGAACTTGGTGAAACATTTGTAGTTAATTTAACATCCACAGGTTCTTATTTGCTCAATAAGAACAGACAAATAAAACAAAAATAAATGGAAAAATTGACATTTCTTCCACCAGCAGGGCCTAGTGACTTCCTTACTTTTCATAAATATATTTTTCCTGCTCTGTACTTGTTCATCACTGACTCTAGTTGCTAGAGTGTGGTGTCCTAATTGATCATGAATGGCTTTTAAGTCTGATGGAGTTTGATAATGCCACCTGTGGTGGAAATTAAAAGAATGCATTGATGCTAGAGATGGGCAAAAGAAATAGTGGAGCAAGCTCAAGGCAGAGGGTCCTTCCCACAGGGGGAGCAAGGGTGAATACAGGGATAGTGAGAATTTAAGGTGACTCTGCAGATACTTCACTCCTTTTGTGTAAAAAAAGTGTATGCCACTGCTTCCAGTTGCTTTTTTTTTTTTTTTTTTTTTTTTTTTTTAATCTGTCTAGATCTGTAACCTCTAGCCTGTGTGTTGATTTTTGTCTTTATTGTAGCTTGTAATTTGTCCTTCTCTTGCATTGTGGCCTCCTGATATGTGAGCTACCACAAGGCTCTGGAAAGTGGGGACTGTCAGTGGGATCAATAAGGAACCAAAAAACAGACAAACTAATGATGATCCTTAATGATTCAAATGAGGGCTCCCTTCAGAAAAATCAGATGACTGCTGTCTATTTCCTAACAAAGGATCCCAAGGGGAAGAAGGACTAGAATAAAGCAAAGACTTGCTGGAAAGGGACTCTGGAGCTGCTGGTTGAGATGTGCCTGTCAAATTTTAGTCAGTTCTGATACTTCTGTGGTGCATAACCCAGCTTTGAGCCTCCTCAAGTGCCTTTCCACTAGGGCAAAGAAATTGTGTTGGAGAAGGTACTTCATCCATGAGGATGAAGTCCCTAGTGAAGTCGTCCAGTAAGATGTCCCTAAATTCCTGCATGTGCTTACCCCAGTCCCCATCCAAGAGTGTTTTAGGCCATCAGCAACATCACTTGAGGCCCTTCCAGTGGGAAATGCTCCCAATTTCCAAGCAATCTTCATTCAGGCAAGGTTTACCTTGCTCAGAAATTGCCCTGGGCAAAAGGAATGGCAAAGGGATGTGGGCAAAGGTGTAGTAGCAATCTGCTCCAGGTGCCATTTATTTCTGGTTTGTTCCTACTTGATTGGAGCCCTGAAAAATAGCTGAAGCTGCATCTCAGGGCTTCAAGCAATTCTTTTATGCAAGGAATTGTTCTTGTAAAGTCACTAGCATAGGGAACTGCACATAGAAATAGCAGCACATCCCTGACTCTTGGGGAAACTCTCATCAGCAGAGCTGTGGCGCCATCTACTGTTCTTCTCATCAGCTTTGTCCTTATCCTTCCTGCCAATCATGGCCATCTCAAACCGTTTCTTTGTGTTACGGTGCTGCTGGTTTAATTTTAACGTAGCATTTATAGGCTAAATGCAAACTTCTTGGCCACTTGCCGAGGCGATCAGTTCCGGGCAGACGCGTGCTGCAGCGGAGCGGGGGATCGAAGAGGGCAAGGCTTTTTTTCGGCATCGAGGCCACTCGAGGCAGCCGAGGGAGCCGCCAGGGCCCGGCAACCCCTCACGAGGGAAGCTGACAAAGTGCGGGTGGAGCCAGCAGCGCCCCCTCCCCGGCCGTTCAAAAGCCGCCCCTGGGGAGCGCGGCGACCAGGACGGGCAAACAGGGCGGGGCACGGCAGTTCGCGCGGGCAGGGCTGCTCGATGCTCCTCTGCAGTGGTCTCTGCCTTCGGTACTGGTACTGGTAGCCTGCTTGCAAGAAACCTGACCATGGTATCAACCAGGCAGAAAAACATGGCCTCCGCATCTCTTGCGGCCTCTCCAGCCGCAGTCACCGATGTGGCTGCTCAGATGGAGGGATCCGGAAAACACATCACTGTCCAGGTCTTGGGTTACAGAGTGTGCCTGAGTCTCCTGTCCGTATCCAACAGCAGCAGCAAGGGGTATGCCTGTGGGAGGTGTGCCCAGGTCGAAGAGCTGCTCAGCTAGGTTGTGGACCTTCAGGAGGAGGTGAGCAGGCTCAGGAGCATCAGGGAGTCAGAGAGGGAAATTGACTGGTGGAGGTGTACTCTGCCCTCTCTGAGACAGACTCAGGAGCCTGCTGCAGCACAGGCGCCTCCTGCTGTGCAGAAGATCATGGGAAGGTCTACGCGACACTGGGCCTGCTGGCACCAGATGGGATGCACCTCTCAGAGAGGGGTAAGGATTTTTGCTCAGGAGTTGTCAGGGCTGATAGACAGGGCTTTAAACTAGAGTTGAAGGGAGAAGGGGATAAAACCAGGCATGCCAGTGATGAGCTAAGGGATGGTGTGCTAGAATCAGAGGGACTGTGTGCCAGTGAGGTCCTTCAGTTGGTTCCACAAGGTGCTGTATGTAGGGAAGCACATTTGAAGTGCTTCTACACAAATGCACGCAGTATGAGGAATAAAATGGACAAGCTAGAAGTCTTGGCCCAGTCCCACAGCTACGACATCATCAGCATAAGCAAAATCTGGTGGGATGAGTCCTGTGGCTGGTGTGCTGCAATGATGGTTACAGGCTCTTCAGGAGGGACAGGCAGGGTAGGCGAGGTGGCGGGATGGTGAGGTGTGTGAAGCATGGGCTGGACTGCATGGAACTTCAGGTTGGGGATGGCAAAATTGAGAGCCTCTGGGTAAAGATTAAGGGACGAACAAATAAAGGGGATGTTGTTGTGGGAATCTATTAAAGACC